AAAGAGTGTCTTACGGCAATAGTCTCAGGCTCCTCCACTCTCTATCAGTTCAATAAGTCTGGTCTTTTTTATGAATTTGAGTTTTGTGCTACATTTTTTTCCTCATTCTGACTAGGACCTTCTATTGTGTTTCTGGTCAGAGCAGTCAGTAGTGGTAGCCGAGCACCACCTGGTTCTTCTGGTCTCAGGCTAGAGGATGCTATGGTTCTTGTGGACCGTTAGTCTTGTGGACTAATTGCTTCCTTGAGTCTTTGGTTTTCTTCACTCTCCTCAGCTCCAGATGGGAAGAGACCCATAGTTGTATCTTAGATGTCTGCCTGCAAACTTTTAAGCCCCCAGATGCTACTCACCAGATTAGGATGTAGAACATTATCTTAACGAACTATGTTATGCCAGTTGACCTAGATATCGTCCGAGACTATGGTCCTTAGCCTTCAAGCCCAGAACTCAGTCCCACAAGGTGTTTGGATGAGAAATTTCCATAACTATTCCCCATATGTGCTCTATTATACATATGAATATATATGCAACGCATACAAATAGGTATATACAAATGCCCACAACTATACCTATATATGCATGTGCATATACTTCTGTATGCCCTCCTATACCTGTAGAGCATACATATCTACCTGTGTAACCATTCACAAATTTTTGGTTGTTGCTACTGTTGTTGTAGAACTGTATAAGTTATAGCATTTACTGTAGTTGTCCTTTATTCTTGTGTACCTATCAGTGTCTTCATTTACCTTGGTCATGTTGTGCTGACTTCCCCCATATTGTGTATTGCCTTTTCCTTACCGTTAGTATAATTAACACGTGTCTACTATCTAGTAAGTGATTCTCCTTCCCTCCCCTTCTGTCTTAGTCATCTAGTGCCCCCACAACAGAAATACCACAAGTGGATGGCTTCAATAAAGAGAAGTCCATTCTCTCACACTCCAGTAGACTAGAAGTCAGAACTCAGGGTGCCAGCTCCAGGGGAAGGCCCTCTCTCTCTGTCGGCCCCAGAGGAAGGTTCCCGTCACCAGCCCTTCCCTTGTCTGGGAGCATCCCAGCACAGGGACCTTAGGTCCAAAGGATGCACTCCGCTCCCTGCACTGCCCTCTTGGTGGTGTGAAGTCTCCCTGTGTCTCTGCTCACTTCTCTCTCATATCCCAAAAGAGATTGGCTTAAGACACTATCTAATCTTGTAGATCTCATCAATATAACTGCCGCTAATTCATCTTATTACATGATGGTGATAGAATTTACAACACATAGGGAAATCACATCAGATGATAAAATGGTAGACAATCATACAATGCTGGGAATCATGACCTAGCCAAGTGGACAGATATTTTCGGGGGATACAGTTCAATCTATGACACCCTCCCATCCCTGGTAACCATAAAAAAACATTGCTTTCTGTGTATAAACCTATTCTTGACTTTTTATAAAAATGATATCATACAATATTTGTCCTTTTGTGATTGACTTACTTCACTCAGCATAATGTTCTCCAGATTCATCCATGTTATAAGATGTTTTGTGGACCCATCATTATTCTTTGTCATTGCATAGTACTCCATTGTATGTATGTACCACATTTTGTTTATCCATTCATCCGTTGATGGACACTTAGGTTGTTTCCATCTTTTTGCTATTGTGAATAATGCTGCAGTGAACATGGGTGTGCATATGTCTATTCATGCCACTGTTCTTATTTCTCTAGGATATATACTTAGGAGTGGGATTGCTGGATCATATGGTATTTCTGTTTCTAGCTTTTTGAGGAAGCACCACACTGTTTTCCATAGTGCTAGTACCATTTGACAGTCCCACCAGCAGTGTATAAGAGTTCTAATCTCCCTACAACCTCACCAGCATTTGTTTTCTTGTTTTTTTTGGTGCAGTCTTTTGATGAGCTTAAGAATTTAATTTTTAGGAGATCTCAGTTATCTAGTTTATCTTCTGTTTGTGCGTTTTTAGTTACATTTGATAGTGTATTTATGCCATAAATTAGGACCCCTAGCTTTGTCCTTATGTTATCATCCAGGAACTTTATAGTTTTAGGTTTAACATTTAGGTCTTTGATCCATTTTGAATTCTTTTTTGTATATGGTGTGAGGTATGGATGCTGTTTCATTTTTCTACAAAGGGATGTCCAGTTTTGCCAGCACTGTATGTTAAAGAGATTATCTCTTCCCCATTGAATATACTTCGACCCTTTGTAGAGATCAGCTGTCCATACCTGGATAGACTTCCTTCTGGTTTCTCAATTCTGTTCCATTGGTCTATGTGCCTCTCGTTGTACCAGTACTAGGCTGTTTTGATTACTGTGGCTGTCTAGTAAGTTCTGAGGTTGGGAAGTGTGAGGCTTCCTACTTGGTTCTTTTTCAGTAATGCTTAATACTGTTGCATTTTTTGTTTCCTTGCATCTTCTTTTTTTTTTTTTTTAATATCATATTCCTTTGTTTTTTCATCTAAGTTCATATCTTTTCATTTCAGCCAGTTATCTTCTTTATGTGGTCTCTTCCTTACTGGCATATTTTGTTTATCCTGCCCCGTACTTCAGGTCAGCCAGTACAGCAGAGTGAGAACTGCCAGAAGCTCTCAGTCAGTAAGCACTAATTTTTATATGCTTTATGCGCTTTCTTTTATATACTCCTGCAGAGTATCTATTCCATTACTGCCTGATAGTCTAGAGGAGAGTCTTTTGAATCTAAGAAAAGTTTTAAATTGTTTTTCCAAGGACAAACACACATGGGTTGTTTTAATGTTTAAATTACATGCTTATGGTAGCACAGCTCTGGAAGATAGTACATAAGCCTTAGGTGTATGTGGGTTATGCTCTGTGCCTAGCCACAGTTGCAGAGATTACAGAGGTGATAAATTATGGTGTTGGGAGGAACTGTGCTCTAATAATCCTCTATAGTGCAGATTCAGTTGGCATTCCCTGTTCCAGAAATGCTCTCTGCCCCTCACAGTAGCATTATTTTCAGTACCATGTTGTCCTGGACTGTAAGATCAGAACCTTATTTGTTATCTTACTCACTGCTGTATTCCCAGCACCTAGTTTAGTGCCTGGGGAGTCCCTCGTTGGTGCAAATGGTTAAACGCTCAACTACTAACCTAAAGGTTGGTGGTTCAAACCCACCCAGAGGTGTCTCAGAAGAAAGACTTGGTGATCTGCTTCTGGAAAGTCAACAGCCTTAAAAACCCTATGGAATGCAGTTCTACTGTGCAACACATGGGGTCTCCATGAGTCAGAATCGACTGAATGGCAACTGGTTTTTGGTTACTTTAGTGCCTGGCACATAGTAGACAGTAAGAAATTTTTGAATGAATGAAAAATATGTACGGTACTATTATTTCATGTAGTTGAGAATTCCAGACAGTTTACTTACCATTTCTGCAGAATTCTAGATTATTTTTAGAGGGATCCTGTCTTACTCTTCAGACATCATGTTTCCTTTACTTTGTGAGTGACATTTTTTCATAGTTCCTACATCATGTCCCTCTCCACGCCAGTTTTTTGCTCATCCTTAAATGAAGCAAGATCTATGTAGCCTTGATGTTTGCTAATAAACAGTGGTCAGGTGCTGTTGGCACTAAGCTCTCTACTTGCATAATAGTCCTATTTTCATATTTACTGCTAAATGGGAGATTATTGTGCACACCTCTCTCTTAAATTCTAGTTGCTAGCAGGGATTCACCTGGGACAGCCCTGCTCTCCTAGGATGACATCTTCTCTTGCCCCTGCACCCTGGTTCTGTGACACTGAAAAAGTATGACGGAATCTTATCTCTGTCCTACTGTAGCATTTACATGTTAGGTACACACTTGTAGGATACATTGTGCCACCCCTGGTTTGCTCTTTCTGCCCAGTTAGCTTATGAGAGTTATTGTCTGAATGGATATAGAAAGTTGATGAACAGAGCAGTGAGCAAGGACAGAATTCTTTGACTTTATCATAAAATTATACCTGGATGATATATGTTGGCTGCCAGATTTTCTAGATGATATGCTCCCCAGGTCTCATAAATTAGGAGACAGTGGAGAGGTATAAATTGCCTTTTTACCCTTTTTTTCTTTCTTCTTTTAAAAGCCAGTCTCTGTTTCATGTGTTGAGGTCCTGGTGTTTGTCAATACAGTGCCATCATCAATCTTAGAAAGTAGAGAGTTATCCTACATTCTGGCATTTGGTTTTCTGATAGTCCCCAATTTTTGATAGGGTGTACGTTATTCTCTTTTTCTGTGTCTTCATAGGTATTTTAGTGGGAAGTGGGAAAGGCCACACTGAATTTTGCTGTCTGGACGTAATTTGAAGCCTAGAGTGAGTTTACTAAAGCCAGTGTAACGTCTGTGAACTTAGGCTGATTAGTTGAGCTGTCTTGGAGGATTGTGTTCTCCAGTGGCAGTCTTTGCCCCTGTTATGAAGTTGCATTCTTCCCAGTTCTGCTTGCTTTTCTCTTTTACTGTTATCGATAAGACTTTTCATCTCCCGATAGTAGAATTACAGGGAATCTATACTATTTGTGGTTCGACAGGCCCTATTAGTAGAGGGCCTATAAAGCCTTTGCTAGGTCATGTCTGAGTCTCTGATCACTCCAGAAGAAGCCAGGAGAAAGGGGCTACGAGTACAGTTGTGCTGGAGCTCGAACCTGTGATGTGATGATGGGGCCTGTATTGACTGAGGGAGGATTGCCAGCTGGCAGTGGTAGTAGAAATAAGTCTCTCAGGGATGGGAAACTAACTCTAGAGGACTCCTAGTTAAGGCTCACCACAGAATCACTGGGCAAATGGAAATATTGTACTCTCCCCTGAGGAGATGGGGTGGGAATTAGCTTTTCCCTAGGCCCAATGTGACTTGGTTAGAAATACAATTGAACCTGTTCCTCTTGCCTGTTGTGATGTGATAGCCCAATAGGAAACGTCTGTTCTGTAGGAGTTTATTTCAGCGTGTCTCGTTGCCTGTATTGTTTCCTTTAACAGCTTTTTAAATTTTCTTTTTCCAGCAATGATGTTGTCCACTGGGCGTATACTGACCATTGTGGCAGGTCTGAGAACATAGCTGAAGCTGAAAATAGGAAAGCTGGGGGCAAGGAAGAGCCCTGAATCTTGAGGTGGGACGTTGACTCTAAGATGTCCTTGAGCAGTGGAGCCTCCGGAGGGAAAGGAGTGGATGCAAACCCGGTTGAGACATACGACAGTGGGGATGAATGGGACATTGGAGTAGGGAATCTCATCATTGACCTGGACGCCGATCTGGAAAAGGACCAGCAGAAACTGGAAATGTCAGGCTCAAAGGAGGTGGGGATACCAGCTCCCAATGCTGTGGCCACACTACCAGACAACATCAAGTTTGTGACCCCAGTGCCAGGTCCTCAAGGGAAGGAAGGCAAATCAAAATCCAAAAGGAGTAAGAGTGGCAAAGACACTAGCAAACCCACTCCAGGGACTTCCCTGTTCACACCAAGTGAAGGGGCAGCTAGCAAGAAAGAGGTGCAGGGACGCTCAGGAGATGGTGCCAGTGCAGGAGGCCTGGTTGCTGCTATTGCACCCAAGGGCTCAGAGAAGGCCGCCAAGGCATCCCGCAGTGTAGCCGGCTCCAAAAAGGAGAAGGAGAACAGCTCATCTAAGAGCAAGAAGGAGCGAAGCGAAGGAGTGGGGACTTGTTCAGAAAAGGATCCTGGGGTCCTCCAGCCAGTTCCATTGGGAGGACGGGGTGGTCAGTATGATGGAAGTGCAGGGGTGGATACAGGAGCTGTGGAGCCACTTGGGAGTATAGCTATTGAGCCTGGGGCTGCACTCAATCCTTTGGGAGCTAAACCGGAGCCAGAGGACGGGGAGAATGAGTGTCGCCCGCTAAAGAAAGTCAAGTCTGAAAAGGTAAGAGGTGGCCAGATCTGGCTGCCCACTGCTGGTCAGAACTGCCCTAGAGTAACCGCCAAATGCTATGTGCACTCTGTGGGAGGCTCATTAGTTTGTGGGTAATGACCAATTACAAGGTCAGAGCAGCTGGTAATGAGAATGTGGTTTTCCAAATTAGGGAATTCCCTGCAGACTCATTAACAGCAGGCCTAGACATTTTGGAGTAGGATATCTGTTGTTGGGGGCAGCTACTTGGTAGAATGAATTTTCTGTAGGCCAAGTAGAGAACCTCCCACCTTGTTCTTGTCCCACTTCAGACACTAGAGGCTGGCATCAGACCTTTATGTGGTGCCCAGCTTGATTGACATTTCATCTCTCAATTACATGTATAGGTTGAGTACAATTCTTATGGGATAAATGGTGCTGCTGGGTCTCTGAAACTTAAGCTGCAAAGGGTGAAATGAGTTTCATTGATTTCAGTGTTCTATTGATAGCTACTAAAGAGCAAAGGCCCCCAGTTTTGGTGCAGGAGGTACTGACCACACTATGACGTATTTAATCAAGCATTATGAGTGATGTTGTGGCTATGAAATTTGGGTGGCTTAGAAGGAGATTCTTTGGCCATTAAAGGTGTAGCTCGTGGCCAGGTATCTCTCTCAACAGTGGGGAATCAAAGTGTCCTGGTGATGTAATAGCTACCAAACAGTGTAATGATACCTTGCCTTCTGCTTGACTTGAAAGGACAGGTGCCTGCAGCACCAGGAGAGGTTAAGACTGTGTCCCCCTGGGAAGATTATCTTAGTTTATGCCTCAGGAGATGGAGCTTGCAGGGTTGGAGCAGAGTAGCTGTGAATCTAGGGTCAGCTCAGGCTGCCTTAAACTTCAGCAGCTTATAGTTTCCTACAAAGCGGCTGGCCTGGTGATGAGCTGTTCATTGGCTCTTGATTTTCTGCTCTGTGCTCTGCTCACCCTGTGCTTTCAGCTGATCCCAGCAGATGCAGTATAAATTGATTTCTCTGTAATTACATCAGCTGCAGCAGGGAATACCTATTTCCATATGTAAGTGTTAATAAATAGAGGCTGGATGTGTATGTTTGGGTGGTGGCGCCCTTGCAGTGCCTGGATTCCCGAAGTAGCACGCACTTTCTTTGCTGTAGGTATTTTGGTCTTTGCCTCTGGCACATCTGTAGCTTTTAGCAACATCTGGCCTTCTCTGCTAACAGAGCTGTGAGTTTCCTCCACTAATAACACAATCATTCCTTCCCATTTCCCAGTGGCAGCTGCCAGAGAGCCTGCCTGTGTGTAGGTGGCAGATGCTGTAGTCCACCTCAGCAGAGTCAAGTTCCAGCTGGTTATTGGCACAGCTCATCCTGTGCTGGCTGTGAGTTGCCATTTTCTCTGGGGTGCAGATGGATAATACTATTTTAAAGAGGCCTAGGAGTACCAGGAGTTCTTGCTTCTGTTCCAGGCCCGTTAGACTGTTCCCTACATCTGGTTTCAGGAAATTCTTGCCATATATCCATGTTCATAATCATTGTTGGTAAGATTACAGTGATCAGTTCTTCCTGTGCTGAGAAGCACTTCTCAGAGTGGCCTTCATTTTCTTTTCTGTTTAGAACACTTGACTCATGTTGCAATCTTCTAAACCTAGTAGTTGTCCGTGGATGAAAGGATTAATGTTGATTAGCTTCGTGACACACAGTGGCTGCAACAGTGGGCTCAAACATAGCAACGATTGTGAGGATGGCGCAGGACCGGGCAGTGTTTTATTCTGTTGTACACGGGGTCGCTCTGAGTCGGAACCATCTCCACAGCACCTGACAACAACAACAGCTTCGTGTTGGATTTGAGTTTGAAAGTCCATGATGGTCTCCAGCAGAGAAGCAAATGGAACCCATTTTCTTTCCATATAGGTGCAGGGGCTGGTTGGTTGGCTGCCCTTCAGATTATAATTGGGCTGAAAGATGCAGTACATTCAGCTAAGTACAATCAAACCTTGGTGCCAAGGAGTTTTGGCCCTTAATAATGTAGCCGTGCTATGAGCCTTGTCTTCAGGGAGACTGTGAGAATGGGGCAGTGGAATGAGAGAGAAAAGGGAGGGAGACTATGCTTCAATTTTTGAAAGAAAGGTAAAATTGCTGAAAAGTACTTTTAGAAGCAGAAATTTTGGTATTCAGCTTGATGTTGCCATGAGTAAGAGCCTGCTTTCTCAATTGCTTCCCCTGTTCCCTCAACACTTTTGGACAGTTTGGTTCTGAGGCTGCCTTTTCATAAAGCCTTTGGCTATTGAAATAAATAATTATTTAAATAAATGTTTGCAAGTTGCTAGGAGATAAAAACACGGTGTGCAGGGAGAGAGCATTTTTGAAATGGGGGGAAGTAAGAGATGAGTTAAAGGACAGAAAGCTAAGAACCCTGCCATGGAACAGCTTTTGAGAAACTGGGATCCCAGGATTTGGGGCATAATAGGCGCTTAGTCAGTGTTTGTTGATTAATACAATAACTTATAAGCAAAGTCTTAGAAACTTCTTCAGGATTTTCTCTCTGAGATGTGGACTTGCCTATGGCCTCACTGGTTTGGAATGTTCCTTCCATGTGGGGACAACCAGCAGAACCAAAACAGATGTTTTGATATAATCTAGGAATTGTATACTCAGAGTTGGGGACTGTCATAAAGAGGGAAGGTTCATAAAATTTGGAAAGTATCTTGACTAGAGTCTTTGCCCACTTGGAAATAGAAGACAGTGGAGTCTGTGGTGTAGGGTAGAATTGTCACAATGTGTACCACAAGCTAATGAGGAAAATTTGAGTATTCAAACTATCTACTTCAGGGCCTTTTCTCTCTGCAGTTAGATATCTTAGGCTGTGGCTAAGAGAATTTTCTGTCAGCCAGGGATGTGGATTTCCCTTCATGGGATCCCGCTTTTGCTCAACCACACCTCTCTGGCAGGGCTCACTGTGCTGTTTCTAGAGTTCTAGGAGCAACCAGAGATGTCTCTTAGCAACCACTGCTGCCCTGAATTGTTATTGAACACTCCTGCCTCTGACTTCCTGCCAGCTGAAGTGTTAGGAGAGGGAATGTTGAGGAATAAACAAGACAGAGCCTTCCGGCTCCTGCCTGTTCCCTCGCTTTTGGTTTGATTGATAGGTTGTTAAAGTTAAGGGTGAGAGGGGAGACGGGGGAGGGAGGGTGCCTGTCTACGTGTCCCACTAAGCTTGTGTCGCCACTCTGACAGGCAAGAAAAAAGGAGTTTACAAACCACAGATGGCGGTGATCTGTTTGTGCCGACTCTGTCAGGGCTTATGACTGGGAGTTTAAGCTGAGACTCCTTTTTTTCCAAATCATATAAAGTAACCAGTAGGCCACAGCGGTTAAAGGATCTAGAAGTTTGCAACCAGGAGTACCCTGGGCCCTGTTTAGCTGTTGCAGGTAGGAATCCTCTACACTCCATTTTCCCCATGATTGTGTTTCAGCTTCTGCTCTCAGAATGCTGCATACAAGTACCATCTCCCCTGTTAGGTTAGGATACAAAGAAAATGATAAAGTGTGCTCGTTGCTGTTTTGCTCTTCTGATCATGCTGCTGTCATATCTTGTGTTCTAAGAGCATCTTCCTTTGCCCTTGGTTTAGTTTTCCTGCCCTGGTTTATGCCTTCCAGCTCAATTCTCTTGTGTTGCAACCCCTCATTGCCCAACCAGGGTCAGGTCTCTTTTATTCCTTATGATCCAAGGCTTTCCTCTCAACGCCTTTCTCCTTGACTAGCTGTTCTTTCTCAGCTATTGATGGCATAGCAAGCAGGCTTGCTTCCTGAAGCCGAATGCCTTCAAGCTTTTTCCTTCATGGAAAAAATTAAAAAGAAGTTGATATTTGTATGAGACAGAGATGCATTCTATAACTATAAGGGAGCATGAGCCTAATTTAGTTTTTCATCCATCAGCTCTGCTTTCCATCTGGATGTTGTAATTCAAGGAGGGCCCAGAGAAAGATTATCTGGTCCAATTTCTTCATTTTGCAGAAGAGGAAATGAAGACCAGGAGGTCGTGTGACTTGCCCAGGGTCTCACAGGCAGTCAGTGGAAAAGCCAGGCATAGAAGCCCGGTTTCTGGATGCCAAGTTCTTAATTAATTCTTAACAAATCTTTAACTGTCCGGGGGGATTTTATGTTTTCCCACTTTAAAGACAACTTTAGAAACATTGGATATAAATGCCCAGATACTCCAAGACTGCTTTCACGTGTTTTTCCTGGTGACTTTAGCATTGTAGACACTCAACAAAGGAGCTTTTAGTTTAGGGTTCTTAGGTAAAGTGATGATGTTTGCAAAGAACAACCATTTATAGCTAGTCGTATATAAAGAGGGAAAGTTAACTTTTAAACTGCTACTTTGAGCTTGACTCTTTGAGTTGTGTTTGTATGTGTGTGTGTGTGTATACAAAACTATTGCCATCAAGTTGATTCCGACTTGTGGCCACCCTATAAAACAGAGTAGAAATGCACCATAGAGTTTCCAAGGCTGTAAATCTTTTACGAAAACAAACTGCCACATCTTTCTTCTGCAGAGTGGTTGATGTGTCTTAACTGCCGAACTTTTGCTTTGCAGCTGAGCAGTTTAACCACTGCACCACTAGGGCTTCTTTGTGTGTGTGTATGTGTGTATGTATGTTCTGGAATGTTTCATTCAGCCAAATTTTCATTGTAATTGAGGCATTGCCAGTCCCTTCTTTTATTTGCCAGTTGCAGGTAGGAAAATCCCCCTGCCTTGGTGCCTCTTACTTGGACGCATCACTAATAGGCAGAGCTTTACATTTAAATGTATTGTGGATATTATTGGAGTCCTGGTGGTGCAGTGGTTAAGAGCTCAGCTGCTAACCAAAAAGTCAGCAGTTCGAGTCCACCAGCCGCTCCTTGGAAGCCCTGTGGAGCAGTTCTGCTCTGTCCTATAGGGTTCCTATGAGTCAGAATTGACTCAACAGCAACAGGTTTTGGTGGATATTGTTAACTGTTTTGTAAAGAGAAGATA